AAGAAGTTATACCCTCGATGCGTGCTTCGCTCGCAAATCAAGCTCTTACTTCGAAAGCTCGAGCGTCATTAGTGTGATCACCTCCAACGGCTCGTACCCACGAACCCGACCCGAACGGTCCAAGTCCCGAAGGTTAGTCGGGACCCGACCAATAAAAATTTGGAGTTTTACGAACTTAGAGGTTTTCTCACCTAATGGGAGATGCCTCATTGAGTTCTACTCAATTGGTATTTCCCAAACCCAAACTTGGGTATTTATAGGGAAAGGAGACTTGATTCTCCCTTCTCCCATCAATGTGGGAGAATAGCATTTTTCCACTATTTTATTTTAATCAAAACAAAATAAAAATGCAAAGGAATCAATGAGTTACAAGTGGCACATGGAGAGGAGTGGGTAAGTGAGGACCATTCCAAGAGGATAGGACTATGGCCTTGGTGCCCAAGGCAATTCCCAATCACCTTGGTCCCCACTTGCTCAAACCGGCACTCCCTTCCATATGGCTGGCTGGCTGCCTGCTAAGGCTGGCAGCTGGCGCCTTGCACCAAGGCTGGGCAGCCTGGCCAGCCGGCCAGCACACACACGCACACAGCCCGCATGCATGCATGGGCTGCCAGCCAGCACAAGGCCAACCAGCACGCAATGCATCGCTCTTGCTTGGTGCGATGTGCTGGGTGTTGTAATGCTAGGCACACGCACACATACGCACAGTGATGTATTCATTTTATATATTATTTTATCCCCGTCCCGTGATCATAGTTAGGAGTATTTTTGGCTCTTTAGAGCCAATTTTATTACTAATATGTGTTTTCTAGTGTTTTCGTAGTTGTGGTATTATTCTACAGGAAACTGCAGATTTGGGAACATTTTCCGGCACTTAGTGGAGCCACCGCGAGCATTGGAGACGAGATGCATTTCTATGATCGTATTCCGAAGCCCAGGACCGTATTTGAGGAATCAATCTGGTGATTAAGGGCTAAATGAGGAGATTTGGAGCTTGGGCAATTCGATACAAGAAGGATGACGAATTGGGCTAAGGTAATAAGGCCCAAAGGACGAAGAAGAGTAAGACCAAGCTTCCGCCCGACTGGTCAGTGCCCTCGCCCTGAGGCGCGCCCGGCCAGGCGAGAGGAGAAGACCATAGGGCGAAGGTTCGCCCGGATGCGCGCCCGACCGGGCGCGAGCAACGCACATTATAGGAAACAGGCGCGCCCGGCCGAGCGATGCCTCGCCCGACCGGGCGCGTGTTCTATGTAGGATTTTTATTTTCGTTTCTCTTTTCTTTATTGAGGATTTTAGTTTAGTATAAATACGCTTTTGTTAAGTGAGTTTAGGGGCGTCTTTGACACGGACGATTTTTCTTTCTCTCTTCCTTTCTCTCTCCTTCTTGCTTTCTCTTTCTATACTTTATCTCTCTACACACTCTTGATTTATAGAATTCATTATTTTCCTTAATTTTGGTAACGATTCTTCCCTCTTTATTTTCAATAATTTAATTGCTTTGACTTAATTATGCTTTCTTTAATTGCTTTGCTTAGCTTAATATTAAATATGTGTGAGTAGTTTAATTCTAGGGTTGTGGGGATCCATGAATAGTACGAAGGGGTAATTGTTTATTGTTAATGGTTAATGATTGATTAATTTCCTATTGATTGATTTAATGCTATGCAATTAGATTTGCGCAGATTTAATTGTATGAGTATTGCAATATTGATTCGAGATTCGAGAGATGGGAATTGATGTTTAGGCTTAGTTTCAATAGGCATGTTAATCTATTAATGGTTAGGTCGAGATTCGAGAGATGAGATTTAATGCTAGTAGATTAATTATGTGATTATAATACGTAGCGACAGCCCTTTATAATCTGGTTAATTTATGCATTGATAATTGATTTTATGTTTTACCCTGGAGTATTATTTATTGGTTAACCTATACCCTAGAGCTCTTTATTATTGGTTATTCCTTTGATTTATTTGCTTAGTTTTATTATTAGTTTAATTCACACAAACACAAATTTGGTTACTTAATAGTTTAGATTATAATCGTTGATTAGGAATAAAAGAACACTGTTTCCCTGTGGATTCGACCCTGCTTCCCAATCTGCTTTAGTTAGAGGACTTAGGAATTTCTTTTGATTGGGTGATACGACTAAATCCTGTCACACAGCCCAGCACGGTGCTGGCTGGCGCATGGTGTTGTGCGATGCTGTGCTAGCAAGGCTGCCAGCGCCTAGCACCACGCATAGCCTTGCATGCTTTGCACGCTGCTATGCGATGCTTGATGCGTGGTTGCGATGGCTTGGCCCTACTATTGCCAAGCGTGCTAGCAAGGCTGCTAGCGCCCAGCACCATGCATAGCATAGCATGATGTTATGCGATGTTGCAGGGTTGCGATGGCTTGCTACCATCATGAGCCCAGCACGCCTAGCATGCTAGGCTTGCGACGGGTTTTGCATATCCTAGCACTCACATGGCTAGGCCAATGCGAGGCTACGGCTAGTCTTGTACTTGTAACTCGATTGATTTCGCGTCTCGTCGAATTCTAAATTCGACTCAACTTACGACGCTCAGTTTCGACGCTCTAAGCTCGATATCCGACGTCTTTGTTCGTAAAACTCCGACGACTCATCATATCCTTTGGATTGATTCGTCGTCTCGGATCGGTTGTTCGCTTAGGGTTCGACCCGAAGGGTTCAGTCAAGATTAAGCTGTAATATTAATTGTACATTAATATTACTGATCGGAAGCGGCCTCCACCTAGGCATTCCGATCACTTGACCTTACTGAAGAATTAGTTTTCCGATAATTCTGAACCCTTTATCGGAATAATACACTTGTTGGAAGGACACCATTCCTTTCAGTACCATCATCCCCGATCCTACTTTCGTGGTTACGAACCATACAAAGTTAGTAATATCATGGATTATTAAAGTGGTGTAACCTTCACAGGTCAATCGTTGTTGTCTATCGTTGTCCCTTTATCGTGGTTGACTTTTAATAATCCGTGAACGGTTTACAAGTTCTTTAAAAACTTGTTGGCGGCTCCCTACTTTCCTTGTCCCTAATCATATAATGTCAATTCTCACTTCCTATGGTTGCCAAGCATATTCACAACATGCTTAAGTAGGCGCGCTTCGAATGATGCCTACACATACTTTTTCTCATTTTCATACAAAATACACACATACCTAAAAAATCATTACTTATTTTTTAACTTTTTCATACAATATTCTCTACTTTTTATTATACCCATACAACATTCTTCACTTTTGATCTTTTCCATACAATATTCCTCTATTTTTTCCATCCTCCTTAAAAATCGTACTTTTTAGAGAAATATCCCTGAAATAAAGGGACTATAGACACCTGATTATGTCTCCCCAAAAACAAAACCTAGTGATAAGTACCTTTCACGTCTTTGATTAACGAGTTCGGTAAAGAGTTGAAGAATCTAGTGAAATTCCCTTAGACCTTGACCATGTTTCTAACCTTACCTAAAGCATTTTAATCCAAAATAAATTTTTTCCTGCCCTTAAACCCAAAATCATTCATTTCGTGTCCTTCAAATCATTCATTTAGTGTCCAAATCATAAAAACGTCCAAACCATCTCATTTTGGTCCATAATCTTGGTCCTATTTTTGCTAAGTTGGATAGGGGTTGAAAAGAGCTTTCGAACGATATATTATAAGCCCAAATCCGACTTATAACGAATAACTTATGGCCAAAATATGCATTTTCTTAGCTACTTGTTTAGCTAAGCTAGCTGCGCCATTGCACCCATATATGAACATATAGTAATTAAAAAATGAACATACGTTTTTTTTTTCCCTTCTTTATATCATCTTCACTCTCTCCCTTCCTCTTTCTTATCTCTATTAATTTTCTCTCTCCTATGTTTGCTTCTCAATCTAAAGTTTTCTCTCTCCTTTTTTTTCCCCCTTTTTTATAAGTTAATTTTCTTTCTTACCTCACTTTCCTTCAATCTTTATACTTCTTCGTCCTTCTAATTCGGATATTCTCCAATTCGTCACCATTGTAGCATCTCCATCATCATCATCATCATCTTCGTCACGATCATGAAACATGAGGTGATTTTGAATTTTTTTTTTTAAAATTATAAATATGTGAATGTTGTAAAATTGTTGATTTTTATCAATTTTGCATTTGTGATTTCTAATCTATTATGTTATAGATCGATAATTATTGTCTCTATGATGAACCAAGATTAGATTTAAGGTGGGTATTTAAATTTTTAGAGTTAAAATAATTACAATCGAATTTGTGTTATGTAAATAAAAGAAATAAAAATAGAAAAATTTATGACATATAGTACTTTAAAATTGAACATTTTTTTACAAAATGAACGTTTAGTACACTAAAAATGAACATTAATGTATAAAAAATGGCTGTTGTAAAAAAAAAAAATAATGTATAAAAAATGAACATAATTTAATGATATATATTATCTTTATTTTTTGTTAATTATTATATACAATGAATTTGAACCCATATGAATATGTGAAAATCAGTTAATTTTTAATATACTAACGTTTATAATTTTTGTAAACATGTTCATTTTTTTACGTGTTATATATTTGTACTAAATGTTCATTTTATATAAATATTCATATATTATTATGAAATGTTCATTTTATTAGGTATTGTTCAGCTATTCTATGATTGTATGACAAAGTTCATTTTTACTATACAAAATGTTTATATGTTTTTTTTTTGACATGTTCATTTTTTATTACTAAATATTCATTTTTCTACGTGTTCATTTTTATTACTAAATGATCATTTTATTTTTACGTGTTCAAATTTTTTTTTTTTACTACATGCTCATTTTTAAGGTCGTATTCCATCAATTTTATGATTATATGACAATCATGTTCACTTTTAATATACTAAATAATCATTTTTTTTAACATGTTCACTTTTTAATACTAAATGTTCAATTTTTTTACGTGTTCATTTTTTTTATAACTGAATGTTCATTTTTTTTAACGTGTTCATATTTTTTACTAAATGTTCATATTATATAGGGTGTGGTGTAGCTATCCTAATTGCACCAGGGTGTAGGTAAGACTTATTACACAAAATACTAAACAAAGCCCAAACCAAGCCTACACTACAAGAAAAGGTCACATTTACGACCAACTATCATGACCATAAGTGTTTCTTGTCGCAAGTAATAAGTAGTAGCGACCAGATTATTAAACTGGTCGTAATAAACAAAAAGTACTTGCGACCAGTATGAAAACTCTTTGTAAAAATTAAAAACTCGTCGTAAAAAATTAGAATCTTGATAATTTCGCTAAAAATGAAAGCGGGATTTCTTCCTGATTTGTATTGAAATAACTTTTCACTTAAAATTTGAAGGAATATCTTTTTACATAGTATAGAACAAGTCTCAAGAGAGGAAAAATAAACAGATCCTCTTTCTCTCTCAACTCAAATGGCTCCTCCAATTATTCCTTTTCTCGGTTTCTCCTTCTACCTTTAGATCCGACGTACCACCGCTTTTCACTTGTGAAGTGGTGATGTCCGCCTCTGTCTATGTAAGTTCTCTTCAGTTAATTTGCTTAATTTTTTTATCTTCTTGGTTTCTTTGCTTTTGTTATGGATCGTTTATATTTCGTGTATTTATTTGTTTGATTAATTGATATACTGTAATTGAAATATTGAATTTTTTGTTGATTTATTGAAATGTAGAACTTGGGCTTTTCTATTCTAATTATTTTTGGGCTTTTGGTCCATTTTTCATGAGTGTTTATTTCTTTTTCTATTTAAAACAAGGTATTTCTACTATAGATCTGCTCATTTTTAAGGGCACTCGAAGCAATCCAATTTGCTCACCGAAAATCTGTCAACGTAAGCAAAATTTTGTCTTTTATTATTCTTTTTAATTTGGTTGTGGGTTAATTTTCCATTTAATTTTCTGTATTATTTCAAACTCAGTTATTTCAAAGTCTAAGCTAATTGTGTTGGGGTATAATCAGTACTGTATGTGAATTGGTCAAAATTATCATGCTTTTCGGTTAGTTCTTGCAATCATACGTAAATATGCAGGTTAATTTTTAAGGTGGGGAGAGTGTGGGATTGATTTAATTAATGAATTGGAAGTGGGTAAAATAAAAAATAGCAGAATTAGTAGTACTCATACTTGTATAAAAAAAATAGCTTAAAAGGATGATTATCAATGGAGTTTAGTTTTTATTTGGCTTTCTTTGATGATATAGTTGTTTAGGAATGTTAATACGTTAGTCTTTTACTTTCTATGTAATTTGCATTTGGGCCACATAAATATAAATTTGTATAGGTAATCATGTACAAGTGACATTACATAGCAAAAATAATTTATAATGTTTGGTCTTGGATTCTATATAAAGGTTAAAACAGAAAAGTGATTAACCTATATATATGTGTATTATAAATCGTTTTTGTATATATATAGTAGTTCATATTGATTCAATTGGATGTTTTGAGTAAAAATGGTTCAAAAATATTGCTTTATCCCCCATTTAATTTTTTGTGTAAAGTACTAATATTTCTTCTATTTAAATAAATACACACAGTAGTAGGCACTTAGAGAACAACTTTTGAAGGCTCGACAATACTCAACACGCTCATTGAGTCCTCTACTTCAAGATAGATCAATACTTTTGACATCTACTTTTAATTTTAGTTTGATGGATATATTTTAAACACTACAGTATGGATAATTGTTGTTTTTGGATGGTAAAGTATATGTACATCCTTTTTTTTTTTGGATATGTGTACTATGTTTTTTTGAGTTATATTGCCTATATATAATGCCAATGAGTAAGTTTGAAGTGATTATGAAGTGCTTTGGTGCAAAAAGTATTTGAATGTAGTATGATCTAAAATACATGTTTAGAAAAATTAACAAAAAAAAAAATGCAACAAAAGTGGATGATAAACCTGTAACAACAAATATAGTGATCTTGTTACTAATGAAAAAATAACGTGAAATCTGGTCGTAATTAGAAATTTATTCGTCATGAATATGTACCTTTAAATTGCTGGAAACAAGAATTGCGACAGGAAATCTGGTCGTGTATATACATCCAACAACGACAAGTTTTTTACCTCGTCGCAAAAAATTAATTACTACGAGTCATTCAAACCTTTCGTCAAGCTTTCGCGACCAAGCCTATAGCGACGACTGGCGACCATACGTGTTTCTCGTCGTGAAAGCCCTTTCGTGACCAAATTAAGCTTGTTTGCAATAGGAAATCTCGACGTAGATGAGCCTTTTTCTTGTAGTGCTAGCTCCACCTTACCTACGACCCAATGATTATATGAGGGTTGTTTTGGGGTTTTTTGTCCCTCGGGAGAGTTACGTCACCAAGACTGATTACCCGCCGGTTGTACCTGCAAAACAACGAAAGCTCCGAGTGTTCAGAGTTCCGCCTCCGACGATCAAGTTAGAAAGTGTTCGGAGTAAAAGTGCGAAAAGTAAAATGAGATTTTCTCGGATTCCGAGATCAGGTGATTTCTCTGTTTTCGAGACAGTCGATTGTGTGTAATAATTGAACGTGAACGTGTCCCCAAAATGGGGGGGGGGAATCTCCCTATTTATAGGGTCGTTGGTAAATGTGCCCCTACCTAGGTCATCTTTACCTAGATTTGGGGGGCTGCGCCGTTTTACGGCTTTTCTCGAGAATCAGGGCCGTCTTTTTTCCTGCTAATTGGGAGTGTCACGTGTTAGCTAGGGATTGGTTCATTTTGAACCTCTCCTAAGGTGACACGTGTCACCTTCTGGTTGGTCCATGTGGCCTGTATTTTTACCCAAAACAAGGGTTCAAATGTCATATTCTCAATTTTAAACCAATTAGGATTCTTGTAGAAGCTTCTAGAAAGTCCTAATCTATACCATCCAAAAAGATAAAGATCAAAGAGTTTGATATCGAATAAAACTTTTCTTTTGATAATCCTTATCCATTCGAATTCAAAGACATTCGAATATGATTTGGATAGAAAACCAATCAGAAACCAAACTCCAAATAAAGTAGATTATCTTTTAGAATCATCGCGCAGCGCCAATCCTGACGTGGTGTGACAAAAGCCAACGCAGCACGACAATCCTGTCGCGTCGCGATGAAAGTAGTTCTATTACATTCCTAATTCTGATCTTTTCAAATCGCTTCGACTCTCTTTTTTCACTATAAATAGAGGTCATTTTCCTTGTTATCAAATCAACTATAATCATCTAGCTCCAATCATCATCAATCCTTATCAATTGTCTATGTTCTTAACCTAAGCTTAAACACATCCTTGATACTCTCCTAAATCAGTCACAATACCTGATTCAGTAGATTCGAATACTCCAAACCATACTCGACGTTGCCTTCGACCTCGACGTGAAAGGTTTATAGTTCTAAGGGTTTGGTCCCAAATCTATATTTTAACTCATGTTTAATTAATTACTTTATTGATTTTAACTTTCTTGAAGTTTACTAACGTGTGTATTGTTTTAATAGAAAGAAAGTCGAGGCATAAAAGTAAGTAATTTAATTACTTAATTATTCTTTTGGTTTTGAAGTAGAAATCATGCTTAGGATGTTATTTTGATTTCTAGTATCATGTTTAGGTTAATGCTTTGATTTTTTTTATTAGTGACATGCTAGGATTTGTTATTAATCCGTTTAGTATCATGCCTAGGATCTTACTATTAAGGATGCTTTGATGATGATTGTTATATTAATCATAGGTTTCTTGATTATTCATGATATATTGCTATTGCTTGATCATGCCTCATTTTGCAGGTTTAAGAGAAATTTGTACTTGAAATTACGCCTAATAAGATAATTAATAATTGGATTTAGGTTTAATATGATTTTAATTCAAGTGATCACCAATATTAGATTTGATTGTGCATTGATAATCAACCAACGTAGATTAAACGGGTTTAGGGTTAATTTGATGTATGTATGTTGATTGAACAGCGCGCATGAATATCATAAGAATTTTATTAAATAGAGGCCTATTTAGGGTGGGTTAAATCTCTTTAATGTTGGATTCGTACCATCATCCCCTGAACATGCAGTCATGGTGCCTGACCACTATAGTGTTAGCAATCTCTGTGATTGTGAATGAGGTGTAGCCTTCACACCCGTGAATGGTTTACAAATTCCTAAAACTTGTTGGCGACTCTTTTTCTCTAGCTTCTTTTCCTTGGAGTGCCGCCATGCTTAAAGACATGACCCACAGTAGGGCGGAGCTAAAATTCCCTACAGTATTTGGCGACTCCGCTAGGGAGGATTTTTAATTAATTCCTAATTTGTTTAGCAATTAATTAGAAGGACAATTTCAATTTTGCTACCACCAAAAGGCAGGCACCTCAGTTTTGCTACCCCTTTAATTTTTTATATTATTTTACTACCACCTAAAATCACAGTTTTTAATTCAAAAAAAAAAATTAAAATGTTTTGAAAAAAAAAACCCAGCCACCCTCCCCCCTCCCTTTCCTCCACCAATCCTCCCGTCACCCACCGCTTTCCCCCTCCCCCCTGCCGGCGATCAGCGCCCAAAGCGCCGGTGACCCTACCCCACTGTCTTTTCCCCACCAACGCAACCCACCCCTGCACACCTCTCCTGTCACGCATCCAACAACCGTCATCCAGCAGCAATAATTCCGGCAGCCTCCACACCAAACCAGCAGCAATAATTCTGGCAGCCTGCACACCAAATCGCATCCAACCAACGTCGTCCTTCACTGCATATTTCCGGCAGCCTGCACACCAAACCAGCGGCCCAACTCACGCACAGAAACAGCTCGACCACTCTCCCACCGCCACCCATATCTTCCTCAACTTCCCCCTCCCCATCACCAAACACACTCCTCGCCCCTCCCTGAGCGCAGCTGAAACCCACCCCCGAACGGCCGGTAAACCTACCCCCTCCCTTTCCCCTTCTTGCTGCCCCGACCTCCACCCCGAACCGGAAACCACCCCCCTCCCCATTCGCCCCACCGGAATAGCCGCTAGGGTTTCGGGGTTGGAAGTTTTAGAAATGGGGGATGGAGGAGTTTAATAGGTGGTTGCGTGGGGGTTTCCGGGAGGGGGGACTGTGGCTTAGGGGAAGCGCCGGAGCGGCGAGTCTAATGGCTGGGCGAGTCTAATGGTTGGGCGAGCGAGGTGGCTAGCCAGGGAGGTGGCGGGGTTGCCGGAGTTCTAAGGTGGTTGGGGGTTTTGGTTGGTTTTTTTTTTTTTTTTAAACATTTTTATTTATTTAATTTTTTTTTTTAATAAACTTAACAGAATCCTAACGGATTCCATCAACTGGTAGCAATTTTTAACAACTCTAATTTAGGTGGTAGTAAAATAAAATAAAAAATTAAAGGGGTAGCAAAACTGAGATGCCTGCCTTTCGGTGGTAGCAAAAATGAAATTGTCCTAATTAGAATGAGTGGATAAGATTTGAAAAATTCTTGATGTTCATGTACGTAATTTTGATTAACATTATGGCATAAGCATAAAAAGGTTCGTATTGGAAAGACCATTTATAATGTGTCAAAAACATAGGACATACACGTAGGGAAAGCTGGAAATATTTCTCACAACTGAAATCGAAAAACGCTCGGAAAAAACATCGAAAATTGAAACTGTTGTAGAGCATCAGAACTCTCGCGCGGCGACAGTGACCAATGCTGAACGACAGGCTTGTTGTGCCGCGATAGACCTGTCACCAGACGTTGGTCTCTGCTTACCAACAAAATTTTTTGGCAATTCTATGCCAACCTTCTGTTTTCATGTTTTACCTGATTCTAGTACTGTCTCGACAATTTTACTTCCTGATTAAGTTTTTTTGACTTTTCTAAACCCATATGTGTTTACATATGGTTTTAGCCCTTGGGAATTTACTCTTCGTCCACCCTAATAAACGCTCCGTGCGATAATGGGTGTATCCGAGTTTGTGAATTCACCAAACCATGGAGTTGAGTTTAACTCGCGGGGTCTCGTCCATCGTGCCAACACTTCTAAGGTAAGGTTTCTGCACGATGCATCCGGACTCTTAACCATGGACCCTCTTTGACACCATAATCCTTGACCTTAGAGAACTAGAGCAATGGTTAGGTGGCAAACTCATTGCATCATATTGTGATTAATTGACTACTTGTGCGTATCTTATTTGTGCATATCTTGTTCGTGATTAAACTAACCCTTTGCTTTGACTTGTTTCTTATACATAAGTCTATACGTACTAACCCAAATAACCTTGCTTAATTAATTTTGTTAATTAATATGGGCCTATAAATTATGAATGTGCTCTAACCTAGAAGACTTTTGGCTTAAACCTTCGAAAGAATGGCAGCAAACGAGTCACGGGGATGTTCCAGTAATGGCACATCACCTTAGACTCGTGGCGCATGATGATGGTCACCATCGCGCCGCGTCAGGCTTGATGCATCACGATAGAGCCATCACCACGCGATAGTTTAGTCGTTACTTTCGGAGTCTTTGCTTCGAGTCTCACTATCACAATTAACCAGTTTAATGTACATACTTGGTCTTTTCATGGTCTTGTTTGAGTCAAACCACATGTCTAGTCACATGGTCATTACACGAGTCTTGTAAATAACACTTCCACTCACAAATCTCTGCACATACTTTTTTACATACTTTTTTCACATCATGACCATGTCTTAGGTCGATGTATATGTCATCATTTCCATCATTTGAGTTGAGGGTCCACTCCATTCCTATTCATTTCCATGACTTTCCACAAATACACCCTTTCCTTTTACATCACTTGCCATATATTACATACCTCATACTTCCCTTCTTAAACACTTTCTACATTCACATACTTTCCTCTTAC